TCAACAATGCCTTGTCTCCTTCTGAATATCTGCAAGGACCTCATGCATTATAAGGCACCAGCTGCTGGAATACATTGATCTAGTGCGTTTTTAACTACATGGAGTTTTCGGGCTTGTTAGTGGATCCTACCAAAGAGCATGTGGTGTGAGCCCCACTCCAACTGGGGCTGTCTTGGTCCCTCTCTGTGGCCAGCAGGGTATTCTGTGCCAGTTGAACCCATTCAGCCACTTCCCATGCAGGCAGGCACACTGCTGTCAGCTCCTCTTCCCCCTTGGTCAAGGCCAGCTGGTGTCCCCCTGTTCTGGTCAAAATTCACTTCCCCTTATTTCATCCCACCTGTACTTTCAGCAGCTACTTTCTGTCCCCTACTTTTTAATTCTTACTCTAGAAGTAAGGAAATTTTACTTCTCTGAGGCTCTCTCTGTTCTCTCTCTGTGTCCACCTTTCTTTCTCCGTTCCCTTCCAACTTTGATTCAGCCAAAATCAACCTCACCATTTCGGCACAATAGTCATACCGCTGCCAACCTCCATATAAAATATAAGAAAGGGGCCGGGGGTTTGGCTCAGTGGTTCCAGCGCCTGCCTTGCAAGCTCAAGGTCCTGAGTTTGATACTGGGTACCAAAAAAATAAAAAAATAAATAAAATTTTAAAAAATATATAAGAAAGCCCTGTGACCCGAAACCCAATCTGTATTTGAAAGAGACTCAGTGCCATAAACCTCTCAAAATTCTAACAATTTCTGCAGTTTGTTCTTCAATCTGCTCAACATCACCTTTCCTTAAATACGTATTAAAGATGTGATTTCTTGTTTCCCTGAGTTTAAATGCCACCAATATGGCAGAAGTATTATTTTATACCTACAATCTGTTGTAGGTACACACAATTTGGTTACATTTGGGATTATGAAGGATTCTGTGAGCTAAACTAAAAACCTAAAAACCAGACCTAATGCTGTTAAGGGAACATGTTTCTATCTTACAACCCAGGTGTACAACCCATCTGGCAATTGGATATTTCTTATACTGCCAACTTAATAGTGAATACCAAGTAGAAGAGATAGCAGGAAAATCTGACAACAGTGAGGTCATTTTGTTTCAGATATTTAGAGGGTGCAAAAGCTTGGTCCTTAGCAAGGGGAGAGAATTAAGAACAGCAATCTGATAAATGCCTAGCATTCATCCATGTGTCCAGTCAGGAAGCATTCTGTCACATCCATCATGACAATGCCAGCCACTGTGGGAAGCTCCAAGGTGACATGTGGGAAAGATGGATAGGGAGCTTACAGTACAAATACATCAGCTCCCAGAGAAGCCCAGGGATGCAGGCTGTGGTGAGCACTGGGAAGATGTCTGAGTCTGCTCTCTGGAACTATAACAGAATGCTCAAGACTGGGTAATCTATAAAGAAGAGAGGTTTATTTTGACTCAGTTCTGGAAGCTGGGAAGCCCAGGATTGACTGGGCCACATCCAATGAAGGTCTTTTGCTTCTCCAAGTGGTAACAGAAAGTGGCAGGGCAAATTGGTGACTGTGGAAGAAAGAAAAAGGGTGCAGGCCCTGGTCGTGGGTACTCTTTCCCTGAGAAAGGTACTGGCCTGCTCTGAGTGCCTTGCCTCCATCATCCAAGCACCTCCCATGAGGCTCCAACTCCCAGCACTGCCTAGTGATGAATTAAGCCTAGACAGAGTTTTAGCAGGACAAACTGTCTTCACATTGTGGCAGACAGAAAGATGGACACAACCCATCCTATGGGGCCTCAGCAGGCTAGAGGCTGGACCATAGGCTGCAGCACACACATGGTAAGATCTTGACTCTGGGCTTCAAGTGCCAAAGTTTCAACCTATACACACTAGGACAACTACTCTGATAAATACAAATAATTATATTTTTATGCCTGGGTTGATTTGTCCCAAAATGAATAATCCAAGATTTTGTCTACTGATTTTTTCTGGGGGACTCTCCCAAAATAAGATGGTTATACTATGATTATTTTACCATGCTTATATTTTTGATGTCAGCTTATGAAAAAATTATTTACAGACACTGGAGTGAAGCTAATGCTATTGTTAAAAGCTTCAAATGTTATTGGTTTGATGATAATAGTAATAAAGCATTGTGTATAAAAGTGCTGAATTTGTGCTTGGTATATTAGAGTCACAAGATAAACACTAACTGAGTCTAAAAATTATTTTCAAAGTAAAAGTGAGAAACAGTGTATAAAAGCTCGCAATTCCAGAAAGATAATAAAAGGAATAATCCCCCATACAGAGAAAACCTTTAAAAGGCAAGATATTGAACTGGTAAAGAGGAAGAGACTGACTTTGTTACATCAGGTTGTAACCATGTTTTATAATATTTATCAAGGGACATGATACAACCTGTAGGTCCTGATTTATTCACTAACTGACTAGTACTGTAATGAGGTTCTACTGTGTTTTATGATTAATTAGAGAAATATAGGTAAATAATCAGAGCATGTTTGAATGGAAAGTTCCAGGTGAAATTATGTAGGCTGTTATTTAATATATGACTGATAATGGGGACTATTCTTCAGCAAATATTCATAGACATAGCAGGTGGATGGAGTGTCCTTCTCTGTGTCCTTGACCATAGGTGTGGCTGTAGTGCATGAAGAACTAGAGGATGTGACGTAAGCAGAGATTTGAAATTGTGTAAGTGATTGTGCTTGCTCTTCCTTGCTCCTGAGCCCAGGAAAACAAATACACTGGTGTGGACCCCAGCCCAGTGTGGAGCCAGATCATCTAACACCAGCTTTCCATGGATGTGTGCATGAACCCATAACATGCTTAATGTTGTTTGACATTTTGGGGTTACTTGTTACCCAGCGTTATTGTAGCAATAGCTGACTGTTATGGTGAACAAAGTCTCATATTTTTGTTATGGAACTTTGCTTTAAATTAAAGATAGCTATTATCTTAAATATCCCTCAAAGTCTTGATGCTAAAGTCATAGTCCCCACCTGTGGCCCTTTGGGAGGTCCTGGAATCTTCAGGACCTGAGGTCAGGTGGGAGGAAGCTAGATCTCTGGGCAAGTGTCCTTGAAGGGAAGAATGGGACTCTGGCCCCTCCTCTCTTTTTTATTCTTTTCCCCCACATGCTTTCTGCCATGATGGATCATCTCCCATGGACCGAAAGTCACCAGAGCCAAGCAACCATAGACTGACACATCCAAAACTGTGAGCCACTATAAGTCCTGCTTAGAGATTGATTTTCTCTTTCATCACAGTGATTTCCATCATTTTCCAGCTGACTTACACAAAATCCAAGACTGTTTAGAATTTAAACTATTTATCAGTAAACCTCTAAATTAAAATTTAGAGATTTTATAAAGTATATTACCTGTCCCTAGTGTTGCTGCTGACAACTAAGATGGAGGAGCCTGGAAAAATACCAAACATGGAGTTATGTGTGGGCTTCGACCCACAATTTATTCAGGAGAAAGAATTCTGTCTTGGCACAGGCATCATGAAAGAGCAGCAGACCTCAAACCTTTGACAGTTTGAGGGCCAGGCGCTGGCTGTCCTGGCAGACTGGCTCTTTGTTGTGCTAGACAGCCAAGTTTCATGGTTTGCAGCAGGTGGGAGCCTCAGTAATTTAAGCAAAATGTTGGCTCTTTCAGCCAAGAAAATCTCAGCTCGCTGAGGAATGTTCCCTGCACCTCCAATGGGGAGGAGACCACAGCACCCTAGTGTGGCAGGAAGGGAGAACTCTGCTCCCTCATCCAGTGCTCTCCTTGTGTCCTCAGAGCAGGAGCAGGAGCATGGGCCACCTCCACAACATGGTCACCCTCCAAAAAGCCATCTGAAAGTTAGTCCGGCTTATTTTTCCTAAGCCAATAAGACAAGCTATTGCACTGACTTTTAGTTTTGGATTGCAATTGAGTTTTCCATAATTTATTCCACCAAATTGAATCAATACATTTGCCATTTATTTTGCCTTGTAAAATTCCTTTTCATGTTCTTTTATAAACCAGTAAAAAATAGAGATGTGATGTGGTAAAATTGTTACAGCATGCCTAATAATGAATCTACAGCAAGTCCTCTCTTTGTGAAAAGGTAAAAATGCTGATCCAATGTTAAAATAGCATGTGCTACACTTTTCTTATAGTGTCATTGATCTCAAAACTGATGAAATAATAGAAAAGCATTTGTAATTACTGTAATATTTTTGAAAAAAGTAAATAAATAATATAGACTATTACTGTCAAAATGTTCTTACACAAGAGAAATCTAGGAAAGCTGAGTGTGATGGGAGGCCTAGGCAGAAGGATTGCCACGAGTCTGGGCTGTATGGTGAATTCAAGGCCAGCCTGAACCACATAGCAAGACCATATTTCAAAAGGACAACAACAAAATATTATTTTTTTATTTTATATTAGCTGAGCAAAATGACACCCTTCAGTCCCTCTTGCTAGGTCTGGACATACTACATTCTAAAATTCACAATTTGAATCTTTATAAAATTACTTTTTGAAAAGCAAAATGTCCTAGTCCTTAGTTCTGAAAAAAGGAAAAATTTCCTTGAAGTTAACCCAGTTCAACTTTAAGTATTAAAATATCTGTAACATGATGTGCATAAATTTTTTTTTAGCCATTGTCCTTTTATGTCTTAGGAGGAATTTGCAAGTATGGCAAACTTCAGTAATTTTTTTCCTTTAATAAGTGTGGCAAATAGGGAACAAAAACAAGATAAAAGGTTTTATTCTAGGCCATTCTGTTCAGCATAATTTCAACTTTCAAATTATAGGAACATAAATGAATGTCCTACTTCTGGGTTAGAAGTACTTGACTACTTTGTGGGATGTTTTGTGCCAATTCTTTGCTAAATTATCTTGGTCACAGTTGCTAGGTAACACCACTGGCTTCCTGCAGCTGAAAAATGAGAGGGTTACAGGAAGCAATTCGGCATTATTAGCATTTTACTAATAAGTTGGTTTTTTAACTGTGTGTCTTAGTATTTTTTCCTCCCTCCTTTTCCAGGGAATGTCATTGTCTACGGGAACACGATCGACACCTATACCACTGTGGAAACACTCTTACACCTGGGTGTGAGAGGCTCCTGCATCTATCTTGTGCACACCCCGCCCAAGTCTACAGTCACCTGCATCAACAACTACTTGGTGGAGAGTGCCGTGGAGGAAGCACTGGGGGCAGCTGGCGTCACCACCTTCTGGGACGCCATCCTGGCCCAGTGGAACCAGGGCCTGAACCCCGACCCCATCCACTGCGCCAGCTTCACCACGCCTACCAAGACTTTCCAGCTCCAGTGCACCGTGAGTCCCTGCATACCCACCCACCCAGCCGCAGGGGTTGGGGGTCTCAGATTCTGACTTTTCTGAGACTCTTGCTGAGTAACAGCAAGCTACTCCAAACTCAGGGCTGCAGAACAACAACAATCTCTTGTTATTATCTCTCCAGGTGAGGGTTTGACTGGGCCCAACCAGGCAGTTCTCACCAGAGCTCTTTTGGCGGCCGAAGTCAGTTGGAGGAGATGCGGGCACCTTCCAGAAGGCATATGCACTCTCTCGCCTGGTTGTGATGCAGATTAACTTAAACTGGGATTTTAGCCAGAAGCTTTATAAATGGCCCCTCTGTGGCACTGGGCTTAGTTCTAAGGGCAAGTGGAAAGAGAGAAAGACAGAGAGAGAGAGAGAGAGAGAGAGAGAGAGTTGAAACTGTGTCCCTTTTATGACATGGCCTCAAAAGTCATGTGGCATCACTTCTGTCACACTCTCTGCTGGAGGTTAGTATCACCATCCATGTTCACTGGAAAGGGAATTAGCCTTAGCTTCTTCACAGAAGGAGGTCAGAGGTGGGAGGAGGGCCGCCATCTCTGGAGACCTGCCCTGTCTTAGGCCAGGTGCTCCCTGAGAACCATGGGAATTTTATATTCTGCTCTTTAATACATTGGTTTCTGCATCCATTTTGTGAAGTAGGTAAGTCTCAGGCTCTGTCATAGGTGTAATGGATATAGCAGTGAAAAGACAGAAAAATTCATTTCATTTTAAAAGTGATATTGTCTACACATGCATGTCATTGAAATACCTATTTAAGATAGGAAAAATAAAAATCCTCTTAGCCCAATTTTCCCCTCCAAAATGATGATACTGGAAACTTGCCAAGTACATCTCAGGGAACCTCTAGAGGGGAGTGTATACCCTCCCAAGGAAGCAGAAGCCTAAGAAAACTTCCCAAAATCCCACTGGATCCTCCGCCCCCAACCTTTGCTTCTATGTTCAGATTAAAATCAGAATCATGGCAAAAAAATATCTTGCAAATACTCTTAATTGCCCTGATCCAAAACACCTTCCTGAGAAACCTTCATCATACAACAGTGTGGGTCAGATGTGAGTGGGAAGTTGATCTGTGCTGTCGGATCCTTTCTGCCTGTCCTGCTGTGCATCTCAGGGAATGGTCTCTGCAGATGATTGTCCCAGGCTCCCTGACTCCCTAATTTCCATCTTTCTTTGTCCAACACTTGGTACTTGCAAGAGATAAGGATGGAAAGGGAGAGATTGGGATGTCAGCCCCCCTCACTGTCTGCTTTGGGCAGCAGCTGTCAGCGTGTTGGGTGACCTTTAGTGGGAGCGAATTTGCCTCTTGACAGTGATAATGATGTTGTGAGCCCCCAGACTATGTTTTCCAGAAACCCTCAGTACCAGTGAATGTGGCTCATGTGGAAGTAGGGTCTTTGCAGATGTGATCAAGTAGGGAGAAGGCCATCTTGGATCAGGATGTGCTCTCCATCCAGTGACTGGTGTCCTTCTCTAGAGAGAGATCTGTTGACATGAGGAAGCAGCTATGCTATGCCATGGGCAGGGATTAAAGTAATGGTAGCTATAAGACACCAAAGGGCGAGGATTGCCAGCAACCACTAGAGCCAGTAAGGGTCTAGCTCCTTCCCTAGAGCTTTTCCAGGAAGCGTGATCCTGACCACACCTTGATTCCAACTTCTGGTCTCCAGAGATGTTAGAGAATGTGTTTCTGTGGTTTAGAGCTTTCCATTGTGTGGCACTTTGCTATAATACCCACAAGAAACTAAAATGGATGGTGTATGTAATTGCTAATGACAGTTTTCATAAACAGAATCACACACTGTACCTTATTTTTTCATTTGGCTTCTTTTGCTCAGCATAGTTATTTTTGAGATTTCATACTGTTCCATATGTCAATAATACATTCCTTTTTACTGCTGAGTAGTATTTTATTGTGTCGCTATATCACATTTTGTTTAATCATTTTCTTACTATGCATATTCTTTTACTTGTTTTTGAGTAAACACATATTTTCATTTCTCTTAGCTATATTCTCAAAGAGTGGCTAGGTCATATGGTAGGTGAATGTTTGCCTCTTTAAAAAGGTACCTACTGTTCTCTAAAGTAGCTGTGCTCTTTTACATTTCCACCACCAATGTATTGAAAGTTCTAGGTGATCCTTGTTCTAGCCAACACTTAGTATTGCCAGTCTTTCTAATTTCAGCCTTTCTCTTATGTGTGATATGGTATATCATTATGTTTTTAATTTGTGCTTTCCTAATGTGGTTTTCTACATTGTTTTACATTGTTACAATGTTTTCCTAATGTGGTTTTCTACATTGTTTTACATTGTTTATAATGTTGGGCATCTTCTCACACACTTATTTTGTGAAGACCAGAGCTATTATAAATGGATTGTTTAAATTTTAATTTATTATTTAATTAAAATTTATTATAAATGGATTGTTTAATTTCCAATCACTCACTGATAGTATACACTCAGCAATTGATTTTGTATATAATATAATTGATTTTGTATTATAATCTAAGCCTTTGCTAAATGCACTTCTTCATTCTGGTAGCTGCTTTCTAGATGCATAAACTACATGCAAATGGGGGCAGTTGTATGTCTTATCTGATATTTAGACCTCTTATTTTCCCTAGTTGCCTGATTCTACTGGCTAGGACCCCAGGTGCAATATTAAATAAAAGTGGAAGAAATAGACATCCATGCTATGTTGCATAACTCAGGAGAGAACCTCCAGACTTTCACATTAAATACGGAGTTGACCCTGGATTTTCCTCACATACACATGTGCCACAAAATTATGACAAACTTTTAGTAGATTTTTTAAATCTACTAGGCAATAAGTAATTTATGATTATATATTAACTAATTAATGATTACTTCTTAAATAACTCTGGAGGTGATTCCTGCTCTTGAGAATGAAGAACCATCTCAGAGTCATGCTATGATTATTCTCTTTGTAGATGTTCTTCAGCTTCTGTGAGAAGAATGTAGACTATGAAACATTCAAAGCATTGAATGATGCATGCCTCGTCTATGATGGCCGGCTTGTGATTGACACCAACTTCCACACCAACGATGTTGCCATCAGAGCTGCGGGCCCCCTCACTAAGTTCTCCAACAGATACTACTCAAATGACTGGACTCACAAAAACTTCAGTTCCAAAGAAGTGGGCTTTCAGTTGGCAGCTGCTATGCTCACTCTCTTTGATCCAACCCTTGAGCCTGTGATGGAGCCACCAGCCGATCTGGACTGTCTCATCCCCATGTACAAAGGAGCCAAGATCCAAGGTGTGTGAGCAGCCACTTTCTCCCTCCACGAGGTCACACACTGGGTCTGGCCAGCACCCAAAGTAGCCACAGTGGTTTGAGCTCCATAGTCTCCCAGGGGGTTACCACAGGGATAGAGGAGGGGCACATCTCGCTTCTCAGGCATTCATTAGGAACCTGGCATTATTGCTATTAGGGCCCTTTGCATCTTGAGCATTTGTTGTTGGCTATATCCAGACTGTGGTCCTATTTACAGATAAAGAAATAGACTAGAGAACTACCCAGACCTTGCCTGGAGGGCTCAGCAAGGGTGGGTGGTGATTTCTCTTACATCTTATCCAGAACCCCCATTCTCCAGCAGCCCAGGCCTATATAGCTATCTCAGTGGATGAGCACTCAACCATTTGCAGCTATAAAACAGTCTACTTTTACCCCCTAAGCCTTGTTGACCCCCAAGGAGATAATGTGATAGGCAAGGCAGAATTACTTGACCTTCAAAAATGGTATCTTTGAATTTTTTTTTTTGGAACCAGGGCTCGAACTCAGGTCCTTGCACTTGCGCAGCAGGCGGCCAAACCATTGAGTTAAATCCCCCACCCCAGTATCTTTGAATGTTATGGATGTTCTGGCCAGAAAATCACACATTTTTACACAATTGTATATTTACTTCCAAGGGGCCACGGACCAACTCCTCTAGCCATCCTTAGGCCCAAACCCAGTAAAGAGAACATCAGAGGGAAGAGACAAAAGTCCCCCAGTCCAGTCCTCAGCCTTCCTCACCTAAAGCTATGGGCACAGGGAATTCTCACTCAACTTCTCACTTCAGTGAGCCCTCAGGAAAGACAGTGGCCCTGGGAAAGCAACAGAATAAAGGGATGTCAGACATCAGGTGCAGGCTTGGGGACAGCCCAAATATATTTAGGATTTGATGGCGATAGTTTTCTTTTTTTTGGTACTGGGGATCGAACTACGGTCCTTGCGCTTGCACAGCAGGTGGCAAAACCACTGAGCTAAATCTCTGGCCCATAGTGATAGTTTCTAAAGCAATGAGCAAAGACCTTTGTTGATTTTCCTTATAATGTTCAATTTTTTGTATTTTGGCCACATATTGGAGGCATGAGGGGGATGGGAACACACTGAAACACCTAAGGCCTCTGGAGGACTTGATCTGGTTTTGAAGCTGTTGGTTCAGTGTTGGGAACTATGGAAAGTCCCAGGACACATGGGGTTAGCTTGGCACATCTTGAGGCATGGATCACTCTATTATGGGGTATAATGTCACCTGTATATTGATTTGATTACATAAAACACAACCACCCCAGGGGGCTCCTGGCAATTACCAATACTGTAGTAGGAAAGTCTGAGGAGCACATAATGTTGTAGACGTCCCTATTTGGCCTGTGGTGAAAATGTAAATTCTGTTCCTCAACTCCTCAGCAACTCATTTTAAATGTGGAAACCTTTCTCTCTCCTCCAGGAGGAATTCTTCCTGGGTCCTACCATTACCTGCATATCACCAAGCCGGCCATCCCCATTCCCCTAGAGGTGCGGATGACACAGCCTGATTTTGTAAGTATTGCTCCTGGGTTTCATTTTACTTTGAAATGTAATACTCTGTCTATGAGAAGATGAAACTCTTTATTCAAGTCTTTCATGGAATGTGTTGTTGGTTCATGCATCAGAAACCCACTGTGGTATCAGCCCCCAAGATGGCCTCCAAGAATCCTTGGTTCTCATGCCCTTGTGTGGTCCCCTCCCACACTAAGGTGGCTGACCTGTGTAGCCAACAGGATATTGTGGAAAAGGCAGTGCGCGATCTTGAAGAGTAAGTCATGGAAGATGCTAGAGCTTCCAACTGTGCCTTCCTGGATTACATGCGCCATATTGTGAGGTCACCAGGCAGCCATTTAGTAAGGTCCTGTAGTTAGGCATTGAGGCCGCCACACCAGCCAGTATTGATTTTGCACCCTTACAAATGGCTGCCTTGGAGTAGCTCTTCCAGTCCCCCTCAAGTCTTCAGACAACTGCAGCCTATCCACATCTTGACTGAAAACTTATGAGAGACTTTGAGCCAGAACCTCCCAACTAAGCTATTCCCAATTTCTAATTTCCAGACTCTGAGATTATTAAAATTATTGTTTTAAACCAATAAGTTTTCTTCAGTAGATTTCATTATCAGAGGAGTTTTAGGTTTGTAACAAATTGAGCAGAAGGTACACAGACTTCCTACATTCCCTTTCACCATCACCACACCCCAAAACACACACACAACCTCCGCCATTATCAGCAACCCCGCCAAGAGTGGTACGTTTGTTAGAACTAATGAATCTTCACTGATACACCATTATCAACTAGAGCTCATGCTTTACAACTGGGCTTCACTCTTGGTGTTCTGTCCTAGGGGTCTTGACCACTGTGTGCTAGCAGGTGCCCATGTTACAGGATCACAGGATCATGAAGTAACGTCCCTACCCTGAAAATCCTCTGTGCCCTCCCCCCCCATCCTAAGGTCTCCATAGTTCTACCTTTCCCAAATGTCATACAGCTGGAATTAGTCTGCTTTCTTCTCAGACTGGCTCCTGTCACTTGGCAACATGCATTCAGGTTTCCTCCATGTCTTTTGTGGCTTGACAATGCATTTCTTTTCAGCACTGAATAATATTGGGCCACCTGAATAAACCATGGCTTATTTATCCATTCACCTACTAAAGGACCTCAAGCCATCAGTTTCCAGGTGACCTGTATGTCTGCTTTCGCGACACTGGGGCAAGCAAATCACTTAGGATCTAGGGTGGCTGTGGAGACCCCACTGTTTTCCTCCCCTCCCTAAATTACCCACCAGGCCATCAGCTAAACAGGAGCAGTGGGGCTTGACCTGCCCTGGCTAAAGGAACCCAGAAGGACATGCAGTGGCTGGTCAGCTGGAGAGCTGAGATGCCCTGGTCAGACAGAAGGTCCCAGGCTTATTCCTATCACCCAGGGCTTCCTCTCCAGTGCCATGTTTGCTTTTGAGCCAGTGAGGCAGGCTCTGGAGCTGCCTGCTTAACTTCTGCTCCCAATGTCTTCGCCTGGGTAATTTTGAGGATTAATGACATGATCAACCTGACATATTTCCCCAGTCTCCTTAAGGATAAGACTGGCCATCTGGCAGGTTCCAGCCAATGAAGTATACATGGAAGCTATTGAAAAAGTCCTTGAAAGGCAGCAGACTCAAAATTCTCCCTTCTCCCTTCAGGAAACCAGAACCCCAGCTCTCCTATGCATTCCCACATGCCTTGAAAAACTTCTTCAATTTCTCTGCACCTCTGGGATTGTCAGGATCATATATAAAATAGCTGGAGCAGTGCAGGCACAGAATAGTTCCAGAGAAAGAAAAAGAAAGAAAGAAAGAAAGAAAGAAAGAAAGAAAGAAAGAAAGAAAGAAAGAAAGAAAGAAAGAAAGAAAGAAAGAAAGAAAGAAAGAAAGAAAGAAAGAAAGAAAGAAAGAAAGAAAGAAAGAAAGAGAGAGAGAAGGAAGGAAGGAAGGAAAGAAGGAAGGAAAGAAAAGAAAAAAGAAAAGAAAAGAAAAGAGGAAGACAGGTGCTATGTGTTTGAAACTTCCTTCCCAGGGGCCTCTCCCAGATTCTTTTAGGTATCCTGTCTGCGTGGTCTGAGGTAGAGAAAACCGTGGGGACACAGGCATGGGTGCTCTGGCTTCTGTTGCTGTGTGGCACAGACATTTGACTCTGATCAGAACCCAGGTTCAGGAATTCAGACAGGACATGGCAGGAAGAGCCACGGTGCTTCGTGGCATCTGAAGCCTTAGTGAGAAGGCTAGACACCCAAGTCCATGATCTGGACCTCTGAGCGCTGTTTGCTCATAGCAGAGCCATTTTACTCACCCGGGCTGGGATGACTAAGACAAGGAGTGCTGTCCTCACAGCATGTGGCCTCAAAGACCTCAGACTGCCAAACTGACAGCTCAGGGCTCCGATGCACATGTTCTCCCTCGAAAGCTGGCCCGGCCTTGCAAATCACATAGCCCGGACAACCCCCTCCACCACTGGCCAGTCACAACCCATGGGAGTCAAGGGGTGGAAAGGAGAGTCCATCTCCTAGTGGCAACAATGTTGAGGTGGTAATGCAAAAAAATATGTGGACCAGGGCTGTTGCTGTGGCCATCTTTGGAAAATTCAATTTGCCACCAAAGAGGCGGGTACAAGGTAAACAAGGTGTTCCAAAGCTAAGCACTTTGGTTGTCACATATAATAACCTGAGCCTAATATGTATAACAGCTAGAAAATACTGGGCTTGGTTTCAGAGAGAACCAGATTCTTCAAGAACACCATGCAATTTCCTACATGCAGTGTCATTTATGCAGGAATCACTGGATAAAGTCAGAGGAAAAGCCACAAGGTGTTTTAGATAATGAGACTTTTAATAAGAGTGCAACTTAAATAGAAGCTTTGGCTGGGGCTCTGACCATATTTGAACAGGACCCCTGACTTTAATTAGCCATTTTGTCAGGTGGACCTCTTTTTTAATTAGTACAGAAGACCTAAACCGATTTTTTTTCATTTGTATTATCCAAGAAAAAAAGTAGGATGGCTCCATAGCAATCTTTTGGGGTTGGAATTTGATTAAGGAAAATTGTTGCCAAAATGGTCAGGCTGTAACATAAATATAGGCAATGGTTGAGGCAGGTGGAGCAATATTTCACTAGTGAAGCTGAATTACTCTTCTTATAAAAATGAAGTACAAATGAATTTTATCAGACATCCTCAGTCCATTGGAGTGTTTAGGTAGGAAGATTCTTCCATGATCTATGAGCTCCTGGAGCACTAAACCAACAGAAGGAAAGAAAGGCCCAAGCTGTCTACATAATGAACTAATGTGCAGATTCCAGTCCACATGCCTTGTTGGCGTGTACACCATGAAATAAAGGAATTTGTCACAACAAATTCTGCCTTGGATATTATTAAATTTAAAGTCATGTGTTTGTTCTGAGAGCCAGGAGCCTAATTTCTTGAACACCAAGTCTGATTAACCCCACATCTTCCATCTGAACAAATTCCAGAGCTGTTTCCCAATCTTTGTAAAATCATAAAGGAACTCAAAAGGATAATTGTATTCAGGAAAAAAAAGAAGAAAACCACACTAGAAGCAGCATATTAGGTTCAAGATTCAACTCTCCTAACAATTTGCCATCTACTTAGAAGAAGCGAGACCACCCCCAACATGCCAAATTGAAAAGCGTGTAAAATAATCATAATCACCACAGAATCTCTTGGGGTGGCAGTGCTGAGAGGTGCCTTAATGCATCATTTATTGGTGAGATTTTCTGTGAAGAGTGGTGGGGAGTTTTCCTGATCTGCCACCCTCTGTGATCAGCAGTGACCCTCAGGACAGGGGGAGGTTGTGTTGGAGGACATCCCTTCCTCAATTGTCTGCAATGGATGCAAAATACTGTGATGCATTCCAGGTTCCCAGAAAAATCCCTAGTTATGCTAACATAGGACAAATCGCATTAAAATGGACACAGTTTGCCTTCCAAAATTAGAATCTGTGCTCAGGAAAACATCATCGCTGTTGCTTTAGAGTGGCAGCTTGCTCACTGGAGGGATTCATCAAGCCCTCGTAGCTATGGAGCACATATACTTAGCATCATGCTGACATCACAGCACAGGAGACCCTGAGATTGCAATCAGATCTTTGAAAACTATGACCAGTAAAAAAATTAAATAGGCAACAGATCTATCACAAGTCACTGAAATGATGCCGCAAGTAACATCTGCAGTGCTGGATGCTCACACTGTCACAGCCAGAGCAGCTCAGGCACTTGTCAGCCACCACTTGTGGGGAACCATGGCTTCCAGCTTGAAGTGCTCAGTCAAAGTCCCAGTCAACCCTGCCGAACACAGGAAGTCCAGGCCCACTGCAGGTGGGGCCTTTTGGGGTCACGTTGCTGTTGCCCACAGTGGTGAGTCTCAATGTGGCCTTGAGATGTTACTGGGCACAGAGCAACACTTCTTGTGGATTGTTTCTCTGCTCTCCAGTGATCCCTGGGGAAACCCTCAGCCAAAACCATCCTGTGCTCTTGGGGGGCTCTCCTAGACCCCAGCAGCTCTATCCCCTCAAAGGGATCAGGCCCCACCTTGGACACTCACTTGTCTGCAGCTTTTTTTTGTTGTTGAGGAGTGGAGACTTAAAACCCACTGAATGGAAAAGGTCGAGGTGCATCCAGGACTGGCAGGATGGAGATAAAGGGACTAGATACCCCACAGCCAGAGGCTCAGCCCAGCCCTTTCCACCCCTTCCTGGACAAGCCCCAGCCCCACACTCCCCCTGCTGGGGCCCCACCCCCTTCATCACTTTCCCTGTTTTCCCCTCTTTCCTTCCTTCCCCTCTTTCCCTTCTTCCCTTTTCCTATCTTACATCTTACCTCTTCCTTGCTTCCTCTGCTTTCTGTTTCATTTCTGTCTCCATTTTCTGGTCAAAAATCTATTTTCTTGCCACAGCACAGTCAGAATATTTACACATAACTTCATCATTTTAGAAATGATAATCATTGCTTAAATTTAAAAACTACAGAGTCAAATGAACAGAAAGGGAAATAATAAAAAATTATCCAGGTTCCCAACCATAGAAAATGACCATTCACATTTGTTTAAATGTTGATACCCCCCAGATGGGATGCACCGTGATGGTTGTGAATATTTTGGTGTTATAATATGCACTGTGAACACATTTCCCTGCTGGGAAATATACTTACATTGCACCATTGCATCTCCCTTGTGGCCCATCTCTCAGCCTCTTTCCCAAGTCTTGCTTGTTCTCTCTCTCTTCCCAAACCCCAGCTTCTCATCTGCACTTGGGGCTGGCCCAGCCCTCATCCACCTGACTCACCCCACTCATATGCCTCTCCTTGGCAGGGTCCCCTAGGCTTTGCCCTGGATACCCAAACACTCACCACTTGCTTCAGGTTATCTGAAAAGTTAAACCATGCATCCTTGTTTAGACAGAATCCCCAGGTGATTTCCAGGACTGAGTAAATGTTTTGGATCAGAGGAGTCCAACTTGACCTGGATCCCTAAATCTCATGCTCACATTCAGAGGAAAGCTTAAACCTATAAGTACCCAGCAGAGATGAGTTATTGTGTACTGAACTCAGAGTCCAAGAGCAAAGTGAAAGTCCGGCCACCACCACGGAAACCTTGCTTGGTCCACAGAGTCCCCAGTCCTGGCCTCCCCAGTCCTGGCCACCAGGGAGCATGGCTGCAGGAGTCAGGTGACTCTATCAGGAAGTGGAACAGAAACACATGAATGACATGGCACTAGAGAGGTATCTTTCCTATCATTGGCTTTGTATGGCAGTTTTAGTCAGTCTTGAAAGGGCAAAATGCTAGAGTTCCACACCGTGAGGTGTTTACAAACTGAAAGGTCATCTTCGAGCTTGTATGTATTTGCCATGGTCTTGTCCCTTTTCCCCAGGAACCAGTCTTATCAAACTGACCCTCCCAAGCCCAGCCATCAGGGATTTAGTTGCCTTTCACCTGTTTCTTTGTTTAAGTATTCTTTAAAGCAATGAAATTCCCTGTGATCACTTTGACTAGGATGTTTTCCTCAAAATGGTCCTGTGAAAACCTAAGAGATTTGAGTCTGAAAACAACTCACAGATTCATGGTGAGAGACACAGGTCTAGTTTTAGTCTTTGGCATGTAGAAAGGCAGTTTTTCCAGCACCATTTATGAAAGAGGCTATCTTTCTTCATAGATCAACGATCTAAATATTAAAACATAAACACTAAATCTGCTGGAAGATAGGATAGGTGGAATGCTTGAGGATATAGGATTACGCAAAGACTTTGTGAACAAAACCCAGACTGCACGGGAGACACTACAAATAATCAACAACTAGAACCTCATCTTATTAAAAAGCTTTTGCACAGCAAAAGAAATCACCAACAGTGTGGAAAGTCAACCCACAGAGTGGGAAAAAATTTTAGCCAGTGGTTCCTCAACAAAGGACTAATATCTCAAACATATAAAGAATTGGAAAAAAAAATCAGCCCACCCAAATTTAAAGACCCAATCCAAAAATGGGCATCTGATATGAATGCACAGTTCTCAGATCAAGAAGTAGAAACAGCAAATAAATTCATGAAAAAATGTTCAACATCACTGGTCATTCGAGAGATGCAAATTAAAACTACACTGAGATTCCAGCTCACACCAGAAATAATGGCTGCTATCAAGAAATCAACCAACAACAAGTGCTGGCAGGGCTGTGGGAAAAAAGAAACCCTTCTCCACTGCTGGTAGGAGTATAGACTGGTGCAGCCACTGTGGAAATCAGTATGGAGATACCTCAAAGAACTAGGACTAGAGGTCCCATTTGACCCAGCTACTCCCCTTCTGAGTATCTTCCTAAAAGAATTAAAAGCATCATACCACAGTGATTTATGTGCACCCATGTTTACAGAGGCATAGTTTGTAATAGTTAAATCTTGGAAACAACCCAAATCCCCATCAAATGATGAATGGATAAAAAAAGATGTGGGGATTTTTAATATAATAGAATACTATTCAGCCACAAAGAAGGATAAACTTGAGACATTTCTAGGTAAATAGATGCACCTTGATAACATACTTTTAAGTGAAATAAATCAAACACACATGTAAATATCACGTTGTCTGTCTGGTATGAGGAACTGAAAGCGAAAATAAGGGCCACAGTGAATAATAAATATTGTGAAACAAGAAGAAATTGTTCAAAATTATACAAAATGTGACATACTTTGTCAATACTTAAAACGTTTCCTGCAAAAAAATGGTACACTGGGCCGGGGATTTAGCTCAGTGGTCTCGCCGCCTGCTGCGCAAGCGCAAGGACCCGAGTTCGATCTCTGGTACCAAAAGAAAAAGAAAAAAAAAATGGTACACTATTATTATGAAATGAGCTGAGAGATAGATTAGCAAATGAAAATATATATTGATAATGATACACAGTGTATTTACCATGGTTGTTCTCTAATAATTTTTGTTATGCAAAATTATTTTTAATAGAATGGTTTTTATATTTTATTAATATCTACTTATAATACATTAAAATAAAATTTTTTTAAAAAAACAACTCACAGAAAGGAATAAACCCAGTTCCACTCCCTAGCTGTGAGAAGTAGTGAATAATAATTGGTTGTAACCTAGCAACTAATTTAGAAGCAAGAACAGTGCAATCACAGTTTAAAACATCTGGACGAGCGTTTAGTTGTGCAATCAAAGTTCGTGGTTTCGACATGCTGTTATCTTCCCTTGAGTTTGGTCATATCTGTATCTTACAACAAGTGACAAAGATATGTTCTATTTGCAAAATAAGTCACTGTGATAAAGTTCCCAAAGTCCAGAGATGCTTCTAATGCTGTTTTTCTGATCCACCTCAGGGTTCAGAAATAGTAACAGGCAGCGCAAAAACTGGGACCTACTTCCGAATTCACATCAACAAGTATAAAATGGTAGAGGACATCACATGCCTTTCCAAGGAGCCTTTCCCAGTCTCCAACTACATCCGCTTGTTCGGCCAGCATGAACAAGCCCTAAACAACCTTTGTGCACGTTACGATAGTGACCAGATCACAGATCTCTACAGGTAGGTGGATGTTGCACCTGGCTGTGGGGTGACACACAGGGCCTGTCTCATGGATGGCATGGGGGGTGTGATGCACACTGGGAGAGGCAAGAGTGGGGAGATTTGCTCCTGATTGAATAAAGAACTGACCAGCAGCCTTGGCTGGAGAGTGAAGGGTCAAGGACTGGGGTATATCCATGCCTGGATCCCAGATGCAGCACACAAGCCTTCACGCCAAGGAGGGAGTTGGTGACATGACGCCATACACCAAGTCCCCTTCACATGTAGCTTCTAAGAGCAGTGGTCAGAGCCTAAGAGCAAGATTTGGAAGTAGGATGTGGAAGGATCTGGCCTAGTGGGAGCTCCATGACCCCCAGAGGGCTGTAGCAACCTCAGCTTTCTCCTCTAGTACAAGCTCACTCAGAGGTGGGCAGCCATTTGTCCAAGATGCTGGTGAGGGAATTCCTGCACTGGAAGAGCTCGGTCTCTTCTCAGACTCCAAGACAGTCGCCTATGCTCTGCCTCAAGGAAGGCCTGGTCTTCCTGAGTGGAAGCAACTGCTGGGCCCAGCTTCCTGCTCCATGAGGCTGAGAGACTTCCGCTCTGTCCCCAAAACAAGATGGTGACAGATAGAATTTGAGGATACAGATCACAGGATGCCAGTGTTCTTGCAACTTGTAAGGGCCACTGCCGGGATCATCATCGATATTTCCTTCCTCTTAAAATTTTTAACTGTAAAATACAACATATCAGTAAAAAAAAGTATTGAAACACACATCCATACTTGAAGGGGAAATAATACTGGAAATCTAGATGCCCAGAACCTATGTTAAGAAACAATTCCTTACCTGGGGACATTGGAAACCATCTCTGACCCTACCCTACCTCTGTCTCTTGGGAGACAGCCACCATCCTGAAGTTTTACTTAGTCATCCCTTTTGGGGTAAGAGATCAGTAAACTTTTTCTATAAAGGGACAGATATGGCCTCTGTCACTAGTGTTCAGCTCTGATCTTGAAGTGAGAAAGTGGCTGTAATCAGTGTGTAAACAAACTGATGGAATAACATATCCTGACAAAGGTTCATTGACCAAAACAGGATCTAGCTAGATTTGATCCAAAGGATACAGTTTACATACCAACTCATTTTAGACATGGGCACATATACATACATGATTTTCTAAATAATGTAAAAAATTGAACAGAATTGTGTAATAAGTTTAACAGAATGCTTTTGAGCAGAATCTCTGGTGTGCTGAAGAAAGCAAGCCTTCTGCTAAGCACTGTTGATGAGAGCCACTCGCACTGGTATTTGCAGGTGTGGTTCATTGCTTTTTTTCTACATATCCAGTACTCTTCCTTGTGTAACTGTGTCATAATCATTCATGGCTTTTCCTTCAATGGATGTCTTAAGTTGTTCCCAGTTTGGTGCTGATATTGACTTCAATTTCATAACTTAGCACAAGAATCAATTCATTAGTTCTTTCTTATCTTTGAATGAAGGCTTCTCATTTTCTCCATAAATGGCTTGCAAAATTTTTGTTTTATGTGATCGAAGGAGCTTTATATTTTTATAGCAATGTTATTAGTATCATTTTTAATTGATTGCTGCTGATGTATAGAAATGCTCTAATTTTTTGTATGGTTCTGTATCCTGCAAATTTGCTAAGTTCCTTCATTCTTTCAAATAATTTAGCTTTAAATTCTTTTAGATTTTCCACATAAATTATATCATCTGCAAATAATGACAATTGTTTCTTCTTTTTCAATGTTTGTGACTTTCATGTCTTTCTCTTGTCCAATTACATGGTCTGAGATTTGTAGAATAAAGTAAAATTAGGAGTAGTGAGGTATAGCACCTTTGCCTCATTCTTAAGCTTAAAGGAAATGTGTTCAGTATCAAACATGTAATATTTGCCATTTATATGGCTACAGATGCCCTTAATTCGGCTGAAAAAGCTCTTTTTAGGGTTGGGGGTATGGCTCAGTGGTAGAATGCTTGCCTAGTCTGCAGGACATCCAGAGTTCAATTCTAAGTACTTCAAAAGAATTAAAAAGAAGTTCCTTTTGATGACTGGTTTGCCATCTGTGACTGCGTGTGTGTGTGTGTGTGTGTGTGTGTGTGTGTGTGTGTTTTATGTGTGTATACATGTGCTGGGGCTGAACCCAGGGCCATGTGTATGCTAAGCACAAACTCTACCACTGAGCCCAGCCCAACATTTTTATCATGAATGGGTTTTGGGGGGGTTTTCCTGCAAGTAGTATTTAATTTCTGAATCCTTTTATGTATAAGGATATTTTCCTTATGTGTTGAAACATAAGCCATATTTTGATAAAATATCAAATGTTTTAATCCTGAGTTTTTCCTCAAGTCTTTGTACACTTGACTCTAGTTAATCCTAAATTTAAAAAAATACAAGGATTTGAAAAGTGAACACATTTGCCCCTCAGTTTGAGTGTTAGATGTTAGTGGTGCTGTCAACCTTTCTGGAGACATTTGGGTTCAAGTGAAATCTGTTGTCTGTTAAAGAAAACTTCTACTGGGTGGTGAATGATAGGCTAAGAATCTTGTCTGAGAAAAATGTTTCCACATTTGACCAAATTCAAAGCCATTGCTGGTTTGTTTCTCTCCAAAAGGTGATTTTGAAACACTCGGCACTGGTGACCTGGAGACTCCTGGCTGGGCGCAGCTGCCTACTGATGAGAGTAATACTTTTAAAAGTTAATTTGATTTGTTAAGTGTGTGTTTGGGACAGCAAAGCAAGACAGGCAGCACTGGAGGGCAGGCGACGCCGACTGGCATCTGTCAGGAAGCAGTGGGTGGCAGGGAGGTGCCCAGGGTCGCCAGGCTCTGGCAGGCTGGCCCGAGGCACACTGTGCACTCGCAGCTGTGGCCACATTCTTCCCAAGTGCCACCGAGCTCTGCCAGGTCCCAGTGCTGACTCTGGGCCCAGCTCCACCCACCCTGTCTGTTGTCAGACAGACTGGTGAGGCTCTTTCCAAGCAGGGCGAACGGCTTAGCTGATTTTGGCGGCAATGTGATTACTGATTGCTTTCCTGGCGTTGGCGGCACCATTTCAGTCTGGGTGCACTTCCTGTGCACACTTATGTCCACCAGGTACCTTCCTCAGTGCCCACCACTGCTCTGCTGTGTCATAGTCAGGGTGCTGCAGCCCCGCTCTTCTCCGAGGCCAGGGGACCTTCTACACCTTCCTCTCCATCCCCTACTCCTACCCACGGGCTAGGGCACAGAAGACTCTGGTCATCCCATGGGGCCCTGGAAGCTAATTGGGTCAGATGTTGCTGTGACAGGCAAAGCCACCCGAGCAGTGACTCTTTTGGAACCATATGAGGACGCAGGGTAGCAGGGGGACAGCTGCCATAGAGCGAGGTGCTGGCCCAGGGTCTGCCTATATTTTATTCTTTGTGTTCACCTCGGAGTGCCAGTACCAACCACTGGCATTGAGGCTAGATAGAACAAATTCTCCCCTGGGATGTGTGTGTGTGTGTGTGTGTGTGTGTGTGTGTGTGTGTGTTTGTGTGTGAGAGAGAGAGAGAGAAAGAGAGAGAGAGAGAGAGAGAGAGAGAGAGAGAGAATTTGGTTGTTAAATTAATTCACTGCTTCAGAAAAAGAAGAGTCATTTTTTATCATTTCTTCCTTTCCAAATCAAACAGTATTTATAGTCATACAGCAAAAGTCACCAAAATCTGCCTTTCCCCTTAACACATTCACATCTCTCAAGTTTCACGTGCACATGCATGTACACACACTTGTGAACACACACCCATCACAGGCCTGTGCCCACCTTTCTGGACCCTCGCCACCTGCTGCCTGTTGAGTCCCAGACATGTTTAGGGGTACAATACATTTCTCCTGCTGACACTGCTCTGCCCTTGAGGACCCTGGAGGTGACAGGGGCTTCAAGCCTGGTGGAGGGAGAGGGAGCCCAAAGGAGCATCCACAACCATGGCAGGGACTTTATCAAGGCACATTCCACTCTTTTCCTGTGTTCTAACCTCTGCCTCATCTTTTGCTGCATTACAATGACCCACTCACTCTCCCCTTAGCCTTGATTAACAGCTGTGGCTCCCTGGTCCCCAACTAGATGCTCCTGAGCGACCCTTTCATCAGCTGCTCTTACCTTTGAGGTCCCAGCAGTCAGCCCCTTAGGGAATCCACCTTCTCAGCCACAAAGCGGGGTGCTGCTGGTCTGTGTGGCCCCTTATTATTCAATAAACTCCAGCTGGAATCATGTAGTCATGACCGGAAGGTGCTTTCTATTCTTCTGTACTCAGAAGTCTTGTGCTGGGTCCAGTAATAAATCACACACTAAATTCCAGCTTCCTGTTTTCCCAGAATTTTCAAAATCTTGAATACGATCGCCTGCTCTACCTTTGAAATTTCTTTGTGGGTCCTCGGATGATAGTGTCAGCTGGATGATGGTGCCCTCCAGATCTGGATACTCCTCCAGTGCAGTGTAGACCTGGATGTCCCCAAGGCTCCATGTTAGGGCTTTGTCTGCAGCATGCCCCACTGGGAAGTGCCACCTTCCACCTGTGGACGCCAACACATTTCCGCTCATCCCTGTCACTTCAGACAATGCCAATTCCACTTAGAATCTTTGCAGAGAATCTTTTCCCACATGATTTGCTAAAATCAAAAACCCATTCTCTTCACTTTCTTCTGGGACATTTAATTATCATCTATTTCCCTGCCCTTTGAAGGGCAGCTTCAGCTGGGTTTCAGATTCTGTGGAGGAATGGGCTGGTCACCTGCCATTCCTGGGTCTCCTGGCTCCAACAGGTGGGTCCTGACCCTGTGGTATTTCTCCTACTACCATAAAGTCAAACCAGTGTTCGAACAGCACTTAATCTCAAGACAGCCACCTTCCATCTGGAGGCAAAGTCTATTTGACACAACCCACATCTGTTTTCCTTTGCAGTGTTGTTTTGGTCAAACAGGATGTTTTTCACCTGTCCCCATCTTCCCAGTGTGACACTGTGTGGCCTGTGCCTCTTGTGGGGCGGAGGTCCACATCAAAGTCGCAGTGCAGAAACAAGGAGGGGTCACCCACCCTACACACAGCCCAGAAGGGAGGTAAAAGGTAACAAACACATGGGATGCTATAGGAAGTGTGGCGGTGTTTGGGTTTTTTTTGGGGGGGGGTTGCCTCATTTGTCATGAAAATATCATTTGTCTTAATATGTTAGCATTTATCAAAAATGCCTAGATTGAGAGTTTCTATGGTTTTGAGGTAGCAGGAAGAAATAAATTCTTATTTTGAGCACTTCAGTTTTGCTGATGTTAATAAGAAGGCTGGCCAGGGGACAGGGCACAGGAGAGAATGAAAGAAATGAGTATCCAGACAGAAAGGGTTTATGTAGTTTAGTTTAGTTTCATTTTTGGAGACAGGGTCTCACTAAGTAGTTCAGGTTGGTCTTGGACTTACTATGTAGCCCAGGCTGGCCTCAAACTTATTTCAATCCTCCTGCTTTCTGCCTCCTCAGGCTCCTGAGTGCTGAGATGACAGGTGTGCACCACCATGCCCAGCTTTTTTTTTTTTTAATATTAAAGGCTATTATTAATGAGAATGTAAAGAATGAACCAGCAAATTCCGCCCCAGTCAACTTAGGTCTGAAGTACGGAGCTCAAATATATTATTAACAGTTAACACATCTCCAGTACATCCCAACCCAGCTTGTTCAATGTCAACTGCTGTCGTTTCTGTCACCCTTTGCAGGCAGGCACTGTCACCTCCTAAGACAGGGAACTTGCTCCCATTCTCCCTGCTAGTGCTCTCCAGTGCTTTTACAATGTGAAGGAAAGCCTGTCCATCCAGCCCACTGTGGACACCTAGGGGAGGTGAGCTCAGCCCAGGAGGGGCCCTGCATCCCGAGGACAGTGTGGACAAGAACAAATCACCAAGTGTGAGACAGAGTTCATACATGTAGCTGCTGGACCACACCTGCCACATTTTTTAAAAATTCAAACTTTCCACCAAGCTTTATAAAAACAGAAATGCCATATGGTAAGGCTGCCACTGCCACTGCTGTCAGGCTGCCCACTGGGCATACAGTCAGCCCTTCTACCTGAGGCTGCTGCATTCATAGGTTCAACTATGGGGCTAAGATATTCAGGGAGGAATACGGAAAACTGGAAACAATGTAGCATAATAACTACTTACAAAGCTTGTGTGTTAGGTACTGTTAGTAACCTAGAGATGATTTAAGGTACACAGGAGGATGGGGAGGGTCTGTGCAAATACTGTGCCATTTGCACAAGGGGCGGGAGGAGTCCTGAACCGGTCCTCCTGGATACCACGGGGGAACAGTGTATCCTGGGAAGTTACCTTGCAACCTCTACAATATGTGAAAAAAATCATTACTTCCTTTTCCTTAGAGCAGAAAGGACACTAGACTCAGTCAGACAGAGGATTCATTTCTTCACGGTCCCTTAGTAGTTTTGTGACCTTGTAACAGTAGTGGTGAACCTACAGCACACATGCTGAAGTGGGCACACAGAGCCCTGTTGACACACTACCCAAGTTGCCCCAGCTTCGCCCCAGAAGCTGAGCATAGGATAACAGCATACATAGGGACAATGTTGGTGCTTTGTGATAAATAAGTGGGTTTGGGGATTGCAGTTTGAGTACTCGGTGTCTAAAAGGGTTGCCATCACTGCCCTATAAACTCAAGGAGCAGCCGTTTCCTCATCTGTAGTACAGTGGAGAGATAAGCCACAATAAATCTTCCTACATCAGAGGGGAAAAGTAAATGTGATGTAAGAGTAGTAAGGTATTATTGTGCAAAAAAATTTTTTTAAGTATACACAGTGGTACAAACGCAAAGTTTGGTAATTACTTTAGCACCTGTGCTTTAGTCCAGGTCCAAATTCATCTTCATGGACAGAAAAAAATATTTCCAACCTTTCATGCAGAATTCCATCTGCCTCTCAAATTAATACAAATTTATTATTTATTATAAAATAAATAATTACAGTGCTTCCTTTAGTAATCCAAAGAGATAATGCTTTAAAATTTGGTGTGTATGAGGTTGCTATATCTTATTTTTTAAAGTATCTATATGGAGGTACATGTGATATTTAACATGTTTGTTTTCACATCCATGTGTCTAAGATAAAAATGTACTTAGGGAGAGATTATTATAAAGAATTAAATAAGTTAGAAATCTAGAGTAATAACACATGTACTAAGAGTTGATAATGTACCTCCCAAGACACTTTGTAGTGAAGGAGTAGATCAAATAAATGTTTCTAACTCAGCTACACTTAAACATGATTTCATTTCAAACCACTGGGCACCCAAAGCAACCCTGTAAGTTCTGAATGTCATTTGAAATTAGAAATTTTGAACTACGTATGTTACAAAGTGTGTCTGGAATCTACTATCAAACATCTCATCTCTGATATAGTTTTAAACGTTGGAGAATTGTTTCATGCATGGCTAATAGTTACAAATATTTTCTCATCTCTGATATAGTTTTAAACGTTGGAGAATTGTTTCATGCATGGCTAATAGTTACAAATATTTTCTCATCTCTGATATAGTTTTAAACGTTGGAGAATTGTTTCATGCATGGCTAATAGTTACAAATATTTTAGACTGTTCTGTCCAATATGATAGTCAATGGACACATGTGACTATACATTTTAATGAAGGTTAGGACTGAGGGTATAGCTCATTGGTAGGGTGCTTACCCACCATGTGAAAGGCTCTGAGTTCCAGCCCCAGTACCAAAATTAATTAATCGGGCTGGGGATTTAGCTCAGTGGTTTCATGGCCTGCTGTGCAAGCGCAAGGACCCGAGTTCAATCCCCGGTACCAAAATTAATTAATTAATTAAATTGAAAATTCAGTTCCTCTGTCTCTCTAGCCACATTTTATGTGCCGGCAGCCACATGTTGCTCAAAACTCCCTTCTGGCACAGTGCAGCATAGAGCCCTTCATGGTTGTGGGAAGTCCTGCTGAGAGAGCTGCTATAGACCAGTTGTATCTGTGGAAGCCCCAGCAAACTGCTCTGGCCACAGCATCTGGGAGCAGTTGTTCCCCACAGTGCCAGTCACCAGCCCCATCCGGCTCCCAGCCCCTGCATCTTGCCATGCTCAGGATAGTCCAGGAGTGGAAAGGGGTGGCGGTTCCTCTCTCTTCTTGCCTGCATGGGGTCAGTCAGGAAGAAAACTCCCAGAGCACGTGCCAGAGTGACCAATGGGGAAGGAGGGCAGTGTAGGAGAAGGATTTCCAGGTCACTCTCCAGCACATGAGGGGCCTCAGCCTCGAAGGCTGGAATGACTCCATGTCACCTTCTCCTCTGATGCTTGGTTAGAGCTCAGCTTGCCAAACACCAAGCAGCTGGCCACCTCCTCGCCACAGTTACTCCAGGAGGTCTACACGACCACTTCCCTGTCCTGCTGCCCCATCCGAAGTCTTGATTTGGGGTTCAGGAGAGCTGAGGAGTGTGTCAGAACTCACCGGTGCTACCCTGAGCGTCTGTGCCAGCACTGAGCGAATATGTGCCTCGGGGTTGAAGTCCTTCATAAGCTCACCTTCTCTCTCTCCTCACGCACCCACCTGGAAGCAGGTGGCTCAAGGCTGTTATTTATTGAGCTTAAAATAATGGCCAACGATCCAGTGGTTACCACCAAGGCTACTAAACTGCTTTAACAGAAATACTTCTTTCCCATCTCTGAGAAATAACCAAGTTGTTCTGTTGTGATTGGAATTACTAAAACAAACACGCCACAGAAATCACATTCATCCTCAGTCTCTGGACCATGAAATGGAGCAACCTGCCACCGCCTCCATTTTCACAGCAGACGGGCACTGGCAAAAGAGGCTCTGACGCCACACGGGTACCAGGGAATGATCACATGAGTAACCTTTTCCTTCCTGCCCTCCGGGGCCTGGATCATGTTAGATTTCTTTTTGAGGATAATTTTGTACATATTGGTTTAATTTTTCATATTTTCCATTGCAAAAGCAGTATGTGTTTATTATAGAAAATGTAGAGAAATATCTTAAAAGCCAAGTAGGATATGAAGCCCACACCTAATCCCACTTCCCAGAACCTGTTTCAGATGATGGGCTGGTGATTTGAAGGGTAACTACAGTTTGTTCCTGGAATTCAGACCTACACAAGGCAGGAAGACCTCAGTGCCAGGCTAGCACATTTGTCTTGTAGATGAGAGGACCAGAGTTGCAGGGCTGTCCCCCTCAGGTCACAGCCAAAGCAGTGACAATAAGAGGACCAGAAGCAGAGTGCCCCACCTCTGCTTAATCTCTGCTCACAGGAGAAGAGGAATCCATTTACCTTATGCTGTGAGCATTGCTTAGAAAAAACAGCTGTTGTGCTTGATTTTTCATTTACCTATTACAAGAAGATCAACCAAAAACTCCCACAATTTATGCTTGGGAAATGAGAATAATTTTGCTCCTTTAACAAAACTGCCTGGGGAGCTTCCAGGTTAATTCATGGGAGGAAGAAGAAAATATCTGAACTGTTGTATTTTCATCTTTAAAAAAAATAGACAGGAACTGA